CCCCGCGAGTTTCCCCCCCCCCCCCCCTTTTGTTAAATAAAGAGTTTGTGTTCATGAAAATACATGTATTTTATTTGACATCTGGAAGGGGGGTGGGGGGAGTAAGTGGAAGGACATGAGGGAGGAATGAAGCACAAGCCTCCAGTGGGGCAGACCAGGGAGGCTCTTAGTGCTCCTCAGGGTGGAAGCTCTCCCACAGGGCCTCCTGGATACTGACAGCCCCCCGATGGACCTCCCGGATGGCAGCCTGCAGAAAGCGCAGCCAGGCTCACAGCAACGCATCCAAGAGAAGCACCCGAGTGCCCAGGGTCAGCTCTGGCTCCATGTTGCAGAGTGCTGTGGTGTCCTGAGTGAGGGCAATCAGCGCACGCAGACACAAAATGCTTTGCTGTCTTTCATCGAGGTAGACAAGCAAGCAGGGGGACCTGAGATCTGGCTGTCCTGGGGAGGGGTCACTTTAAGCACAAACCTCAGGTAGCCCCAGGCAGCAGCCACACAAAGACACTCCTGACTTGAAGCCCTGCGTGAGCTGGTTCTAAGCAGCCTTCATTTCAATTCAGAGTCCACTCAATGTGGATGCGCTATTTTGAAATAGAAAAATGCTATTTTGAATTGCATTTTATGTGTGGACCTGTTATTTCAAAATACCTTATTTCAAATTAACTATTTCTAAATAAGATATTTTGAAATAATGCTGTAGTATAGACATGCCCTCAGATTATAGTCGATTAAGCGATAAGCAAAAGCTGATAGTCTATAGCATTAACCTACACACATTTCCCTCCTCCCAGCCATGCCAGTAAATTTTTTTTTAGCAGGCTGGCCAGCTGCCCAGCTCAGTTCTGGCTTGCGCTGGCTCCAGAACCTACTCCTGCTGCAGCTCTTGATTTAAAGTGTATTAGGAGGCGGGCAGGCAGCTTGGCTCAGTTCTGGCTTGTGCTGGATCTGGGAGCTCAGACCCACCACTAGACAGGAGCTGCTGGCACCCCCACTGCTGCCTCTATCAGAGGCAGCAGCACTGGGCAACTGGCAGCCAGTCCAGAAGGGGAGCGGTTTTTTAAACTGGCTCCCCTCCTGGACCAGCTCCTGCCTGACACCCTGCACTGCTGCCTCATACAGCAGCTGCTGGCCCCTGGGGACTATAGAATTGTAGGAGCAGTCATCTTCCCTCCCACCTGTATCACAGGTGGTCTTTTAATGTGTCATATGATGGTCTCTCTCATTCCCAAGTCAGGCAAGGTAACTGGAACGTTAGGTCAGTGTTGCTTCAAACAACTCAGTGGCCCTTCTGTTCATGCCATCACAACTAAACAAGTCAGTCACTTACTAGCTTTAAAAGAGGCTGTGAAGTAATTGTGTTGCCTTCAGAGCTCTTGCATTTTTGCTCACCGTTGATCTGAAAGGGTGAAAAAAGGACAGATATGAAGTGATGAAAGTTCATTTTTTATTGAAATGCCTCCTTCCGTAGAAGTGGAAGATGTGAAATTATTTCCTAGCTCAATCTTCTAACACCACTCATGGCATTTCAACAGGTATGTGTAACAAGTCAATCTTTTTAGGCAGGAGATAAAGCAAGAGTGCTATTATGAGACTTTTGCCCTTTGTACCCTTCACTCCCAAGAAAGCAATAGGAAGATGATTTTGCAAGGAGAAAAGCCAATGAAGAAATAGCACAGGGATATCTACTGGGAGCAATACAGGCAGTTTGTCCACATATTCATTCTGCTGATACCATTATTGGACCTAACCAAGTGAGTTATAAGATCAAGAACACATATTCCTGCGCATCCAGAAATATAATCTACGCTATCATGTGCCGAAAGTGTCCGTCTGCTATGTACATTGGACAAACATCTCAGACACTTCGCCAAAGGATTAATGCCCACAAAACAGATATCAGACAAGATCACAAAGAGAAAACAGTTTCTTGCCACTTTAACCAGAAAGGACACTCTCTAAATGACTTAGCCACCTGCATTCTGCTACAAAGACCTTTTACATCTGCACTTGAAAGGGAATCCTCTGAACTGTCATTCATGTTAAAATTCGACACTTACCACCAGGGACTTAACAAGTCTTTGAACTTTCTCACCCATTATCAAGACAGTTTCCCCAATTATCACCTGTAATACCATTAACTCACAAACATCCCACTCTCCCTACCTCTAATATCATCAATTCACAGACACTTACCTTCCTTCCTCCCCCTTCCCACCCCCCCGCCTCCTCCTTCTGTTCTGCAATGTGATTTGTCCTTTTCATATTTGTTCTTTTTTTTAATTGTATCCTTTGGTATATATGGTTGTGACTACTTTCTTCCACTATTTGATCTGAGGAAGTGGGTCTGGCCCACGAAAGCTCATCATCTAATAAACCATCTTGTTAGTCTTTAAAGTGCTACATTGTCCTGCATTTTGCTTCAACTACCCCAGACTAACACGGCTACATTTCTATCACTATTCCTTTAGTCCTGAGTTTGTCACAGGGACAGAAATAGATGTGAAATCTTCTGAACAGGGGAACAGACAGCAAAACAAACATTAGAGGGGAGTTAACCTTTCCCTATGCTATCCAAAACTAAAAAAAATGTTTGCCTAGAGTTTCCCCTACAATATGTACCAGTTCCGACTTACATACAAATTCAACTTAAGAACAAACCTACAGTTCCTATCTTGTACGTAACCCGGGGACTGCCTGTACCACATTTAGGTACGTGCATAATGCTTACAAAATTCCAGCAAGCCATTAAAAGATCCTGAATAGAAGTAGCAGAATTTCAAGGTTCTAAGAAGCCTCACAATGCACCAACTCCAAGTTACATCTAAACCATGGTCACAGAAAAGGGACTTCATGCATGAGCTTCCCCACCCAGTAAAACAATAGCAGCACCCCCTTGTAGTTTTAATTAAGCAGCTCCTAAACAGGCTAACAGTAACAGAGATAGCTAACAGGCACATGTAAGTTCCACTGAAGAACACGAAGAGATACTGTTATGTGGGCAGACTCCATTTAGCATATCAGGTGCAGCAGCATTTTTTGGATGATTGTATTTTGTATCCCTGCTGTTTGCTTTCCCAAGAAGTAGGGTTTTAAAGCTCTGGGGAATGCAGGCAAGATGCTAGATATTAGTAGCGTCTCTGGGTCAGTTTCAGAGGGGTAGCGGGGTTAGTCTGTAACTTTAAAAACAGTGAGTGATCCTGTGGCACCATAGAGGTTAACTAAAATATATAGAATCAGTTATCCTCTTGTGTTGCCTAGTCTTCTAATTTATACAGATTCAGCCTCTCAAGTCCAGCAATATCCATGGTCCGGCATAATTTTAGTTGCTGGATGTCCACTTATCATGGGTGTGGCCAAGTTTCCCATGGTCCCATAAAGTGGGTTTACAGTCACCAGTCCTGGCTCTGTGTTCTGTGCTGTTATTTAGCTCTAATTCACCCCTAAATGCCTTGATATGAATGATCCATGGACCACAGATAAGGACCCTCGGTTGCAGTTTTGTACTGAAGAGTACACCTGCAATTTATGCCTCATAACATGCAATAGCTAGCAATGCATCACCTCAGTCGTCAGTATTCTTCTACATATAGCCTACTCTGAAGCTTTTTCTGTGCACTTCCCTGGCTCACCCTAGTATCTGAGCACCTTGCAAATGGTGAATGCAATACTAGCTGGGTTCAGATTACAGCTTCTCAGCCCTCACAGGACATCGCCACAATCCAGCTGTTCAAAAATCCTCCTCCTTCACCCGGTGCCAAAGTGAAGCTTGTCAGCCCTGAGGCTGTAGGGGAGCAGCTGTTTATTGCGTGAAGAGCTGGGGTTTAGTGTAGTAGGCAAGGCTTCTATCTTGTTGCTATAGGTCTTCATCGCAAAGCTGTTTCTCATCTGATGCCACAGATTCTACTTGCAAGCCATTGCAACACTGCTGATATGCCCAGGCCTAGTAATGGAGTTCCTCGGAAGGACTGCAGCTCCACTCACATGATGCTGCTTGTTAGGAAGGAGCAGGGTCAGCTTTAAAAGCAGGTATGAAATTGTGCAGCCAGCCCGCCCGACAAAACTTGTTGGGAAGTTTTAAATTTTCCTTAAATTGCCCAACCCCCCCATTCAAGTGAGTGAGTCCTCTCCTTGTGGCAGCCCACTGGTAAGCTTCCCTTTGATCTCTCATGGAAGAGCCCTCCATTTCTGGATTACACACTTCCAAGAAGATCAGTTAGAACACACCGAGTGTCTGTGGAGACAGATCAGTGTTTCCAGAGCCAGGAAAGGGAGTAAAGTAAGACTCAGTTTTACGAAGTAGCTTCATACAAAGTAATGTTGTGTAAATCACTGTAGGCAAAGTTTGTTTTGGTGGTCATTACATAGCCAAGTGGCGCTCATGAATTCTCACCTACCTTTGGAGGCTGGCAGCGACTTGGAGGGAAAGTTGCAGGACACAGGTTGGGTTTAACTGAACAGATGACAAGTAGCTGGAGCAGCAGACTCCAGGCTAAGAGTGTTGAGAAGCACTGCTCACCTTCACCTTGCGGAGGGTGTATCTTTTGTGTCTGATGTCCTCTGCCAAGAGCTCGTATGGAGACCGGGTGTACTCTTTGGGAGGAACGCTACGCCGGGGTCGGTCCACGGTCTTGCGCAGCCGCACACCATTCCGCAGTTCCCCAACGACATCGTACCACAAGCTAGCCTGCCACAGGATAACATGAGGCAATTTAAACAGTGCTGCAATCTGAGGGGGAGTTCTCATACTCAAAAAGGGGCTCAACTAGCTGCACAAGTATCTGCTTGAGATCCTCATTTAAGCCTGTTTACAAATCCAGGCAGAGTAGCCCAGTGCTTCAAGCAGAAGAATGGGGCAGGGAGGCATTAGGCAGGACTCAGGTGGGTTCACCTCTCACTTCTCATTAACTTTAGAAATACAGCCTTGTGCCCAAGTGGGCCCAAGGAAATGGTTAAAATAATTTAGCTACCTCAGATAACTGTTGAACAGTTTACTGTTGTAGAATGTCTCCAAGATCTTTGGATGAGATACTAGCCAAGATATTAAGATCATTAAATGTGGCCTTCAGCAGTGTCTCTCAGCCAGTGGTACAAGTACCCTTAGGGGTACTCGAGAGAAGTTGGGGGGGGGGGGAAATGTCAACAACTGAAATTTAGAGAACTGAATTTGTTTTACAGCACTTTATTATTTTTGTTTTTTGCACCCAAAAGTGTCGTCGCCTGCCCGGCTACGATTAAGTTGTTTACACAAATGTGTTGCAATGGTGGGGAAAAAAAATGTCTGAAAACTGTAGGTACTGGGGGTACTATTTTTTTTTTTTTTTTTTAAAAAGAAGAGGTACTTTATATATTTAAAAAAAAAAAAAAAAAAAAAAAAAGGTTGAGAAACACTGACTGGCCTACAACATACAAAGCAGTCTTTGTAATCCTTTTGAATGATCCAAATAAGGGGGAGGGGAATGAAGACCGAAGTAAAACAAATTAACTCAAACTATGGGAGCTCGATTGTCAGCTTCAATATGTATCCATTCTGTTCTATATTTCACCTTCCAAGATTCATGCAGCAACCTAAAAGCAAGTGTCTGCAAGATTGCCCCATTAACACAACAAAATGATTCTGTTCAGATCCACATTTGGTGTTAAACCAACAGCTTAATGATGTTACTTTTCCTTGTTAGCAATGGACTGAACAAAAAAGTGGGGGGCTTTTACTTTTTTGATTTAGAGCTGCTTGAAAATGTAAGTTTTCCATATTTGCCTCCTTGGGGTCTTCTTTCTCCCCTCAAAAATCTGCAATATTAGGTCTTGGTTTCTCTTGATGACAGGACATTTGGACGACTTGACAGAGCCATAACTAAGCTGCACTACCCAAGCAACAAGGATGGAGAGAGATGTTTATAGTTATAGGCCATGATAGTCAAGAACCCGGCCTGCCCATGGTTGTAGCCTAGCTACACATGAGGTTCTAGTCACACTAAAAACAGAGTAAAGTTGCAACTGAAATAATGGACAGCCATTCTGAGACTGTTTTTCCTGAACTACTGTGTTTTTGGAGTAGCAGAACATTGAGCTATCTTTTAATGCAAAGAAGTCCAAGGAAAGATTGCAGCAAACTGGGCAGTAGCAAAAGAGATTGATACAAGCAGCTGTCTGACAGCTAAAGCGGAACTGCCTTCACAAACGAGTAGTAGTATAGAAAAGAGTACTGTAATTATTGCAAGCAGCACCAGAGTCCCTTTTCCTACCATGAGACGTTTTAAGCACTTCATTAACCAACTAACCAAGAGAAGATTCCATTCTTTTCACACCCAAAACCTGCAGCCTAGCTCCTTGGAAGACTTTTTTAAAGTACAATACAGATAATAGTCCTAACACATTCTCCTCTGCTAGCTTTCATGTGCTTTTGGCTGAGAGGGTCCAACCTTAGCCATGGACTTGAAAGTCATTAGACTTGAAAGTCACTTTTATTCCCTCCAGATTCTGCATGGAGCTACCCTGACTTCAGAGGAGAGAGAATATACTGTTTTAGAAACCTGCACACATTTCTCATCTACAACTGGTGTCAGGATTACTAAGCAGAAGAAAAGCAGACAGCATTAGTCTCATTAATGCAAAGGGGGCAGGTGGAGGGGGGGTAAGAGCTATGCATATGCTCCACTCACAGTCACACACTTAAAGGACAGTTATGTTCCCAGGAGGCATCTAAGCATTGAGGTCAAGTGAGTGGTACCTTAGACATTCCAATCTCCTGCTGGAACAGTGCAGCTCTGCAGCAGCTAATGGTGATGTTCAGCATACTAGTGTACAATGCTGTGCTCTATAGTTTGCTTTAGCTCCCAGAAGCCACTCAAGATGTGGACATGACTATGGAGCCCTACTCAACTCAGGCTTTGGCTACCTGCCAGAATGGTACAAGCAGTTGGCTCCTGGGGGCGCTTGAATCCGGAAGACTAGCAGTAGGGGATTGACAGTGAAACTTCAGCTTTTGAAAATGCATTCTTAGTTAAGCAATGCTGAGTCTGTGGGCTTTGAGGTCACACTGCAAAGCCCATGCATTTACATGGGTCCTCCCTGAATAGGCCATATGAAGTTGATGTAGTGGTCTGAGGAGCGTGCATTAACTTGTTAGTTTAATACATGACAACATTGAAAATATGCCCAAACAAATGTCACAAACATTGTCACATGAATGGTTTGTTATGTTTCCAAGTGAATGCTATTTAGACAAAGGGAGCAGGACCAGTCCCCAGGGAGTTGCTGTTGCTATCTTTTGCAGACTCGTGCATTGATTTACCCTGGCAAGGCTCCATGCGTGCATTAACTTGTTAGTTTAATACATGACAACATTGAAAATATGCCCAAACAAATGTCACAAACATTGTCACATGAATGGTTTGTTATGTTTCCAAGTGAATGCTATTTAGACAAAGGGAGCAGGACCAGTCCCCAGGGAGTTGCTGTTGCTATCTTTTGCAGACTCGTGCATTGATTTACCCTGGCAAGGCTCCATG